CAAAAAGAGAGAGATTTATGAGCAATTGAGAGTGTTTGGTTCCGAACTTTTGTTCACATTCCAAAGATGAGAGTGTCCAAGCTTGATAGTAAGTCAAGACAATGTTGTTTTTCTTGGCTATGGACGTGACTGAGTTTGGTTATAGATTGTGGGATCCGGCCGCACAAGAAAGTTATTCGAAACCGTGATGTTGTGTTTCTTTGAAGACCAAACATTGAAGACATTTGGCAAAGGTAATAAACCGGAGCCAAAAACTAGTGATCTCATTGACATGGATCCATTCTCCTCATCTTCATTGATGATGAAAATGGGGGAAGATGTATGCAGCCACTTATGAAGGTGTGGAGGATGTGTAATCCTAGTGAAGTGAGCCAGAAATTGAGGAAGAGCATCCAACTCAAGAACCGCCCCACACTTAGTTGAGAAAATCTCAAGGGACCGACACCTTCAAGAAGTATCCTCCAATGAATTATGTTTGATTCGATCAAGGGGAGCCTGGAGACTACCAATAAGCAATTGAGCATGCAAAGAAGATTATTGGAAAAAGGCAATGGAAGAGGAGATGAATTCCTATAGTGAAAATCACACTTGATGATTTAGTGAAGTTTGCCTAAGGGGAGGAAAATTCTGAAAAATAAGTGGTCTTCAAATTGAAGAATGATGGCAAGAATTTGAAGTACAGGCACGTCTTGTTGTGAAAGACTTTGGGTAAAAGAAAGGTATTGACTTTGATGAGATTTTCTCGCCGGTTATGAAGAGTGTCTTCTATTCAGGTTGTATTGGATGGCTGCAAGTATGAACCTTGAAGTTAAACAACTTGATGTGAAAACCGCATTTCTTCATAGTGTCTTTGAAGAAGAAATTTACATCGGAGTAACTGGAAGGTTTTGGTGAAAAAAGAGAAGAGAAATTTGTTTGCAAATTAAAGAAAGTTTGTATGGTCTCAAACAAGCTCCACGGCAATAGGTACAAAAAAAATTTGACTCTTTCATGATGAATAATGGTTTTTCTAAAACCACTCGGGCATTGTGTGTTTGTGAAAAATTTCACAGATGGTAAATTTATTATTCTTTTGCTTTATATTGATGACATGTTAATTGTGGGTCAAGATTCTACCATGATTAACAAGTTGAAGTTAGAGTTAGTAAATTTTTGCTATGAAAGATTTGGGACCGTGACAAAGCAAATCTTGGTATGAAAATTGTTCGTAATCGCAAAAAGGCTGGTTTGGTTGTTCAAGAAAGCTACATTGAGAAAGTTCTTGAGAGTTTCAACATGAATAAAGCAAGCCGGTTGGTTGTCCACTTGCAGGTCACTCAAGCTTAGTTCGAATCAATGTCTTACAAGTGACAAAGACAAGAGAAGAGATGTTGAAAGTTTCCGTTATGCTTTAGGCAGTTGGTTCTTTGATGTACGCCATGGTTTGTACAAGGCAGGATATTGGTCACGACGTTGGTGTGTTAAGTCGTTTTCTCTCTTAATCCAGGTAAAAACATTGGGCAGCGGTAAAATGGATTTTAAGATATCTTCGAGGGACTTCGAAGGTGTGTTTGTGTTTTGGGGATGGTAAGTTGATGCTGGATGGGTTCACAGATTCTGACATGGCGGGTGATGTTGATTCTAAGAAATCTACTTCAGGGTATTTGATGACTTTTGCAGGGGAGCTGTGGCATGGCAATCTAAATTACAAAAATGTGTTACTCTTTCAACTACCGAAGCTGAGTTTATTGTCATTACGGAAGCTTGCAAAGAAGAGTTATGGTTAAAGAAATTTTTGCAAGAGTTGGGTTTGAAGCAAAAAAAGTATGTGATTTATTGTGATAGTCAAAGTGCTATTCACTTGAGTAAAAATTCTACTTTTCATTCGAGATCGAAACACATTGATGTGAGGTACATTGGATTCGTGATGTGTTAGATTCGAAATTGTTGCAACTCGAAAAGGTCACATAGAGATGATAATTTTCGGATATGTTGACTAATCTTTTGTTGAGAGACAAACATTTAAAGTGTCGAACTTTTGCGGGTATGGTTGATGTCTTCACCTAAGTCGATAGGGGGAGAATTGTTGAGGTATATCTCCTTATTGGAGTTTGAGACCCAATTGGTTTTGGAAAAAAAAATTAATTTGGTTTGGTTTTGATATAATATATTTATATATTATATCTAATTTGTGGAGACCTAATTCAGTTTGGTAACAACTAGGGGTTTTTTATTCACAATATAATATATATATATATATATTGATAGTGATATTGGTTTTCACCAAAAAAAGTGTGCGGCTGCTTTTAACAGTTTCGGTCGGTATTTGTTTTGGGTGTAAGCTACAGATTTGATATTGTGCTTGGTGGCCTAATCAATTGATGAATTCAAAGCTTGGTGAAATAAATTTTTTGGATTTAGGAGCAACGTGTGGATTGATTTTGGTCTATTATTTTAGATCTTCTACAATTCTGGTTTCGAAGATTTTTGTTTATCTATTGGTGAGGTCTTTCCTCTTGTTTATTTGTGATTATTTGGAATTCACCTAAGGGTGGTTTTATGAGACCATTCGTGTCTCGTTTGTAATCGTTTGAAAACTTTTTGGTTGATAGTGGAATCGAATTTCGATCCCGTGGACGTACCTCACATTGAGGGAACCACGTAAAAATTCTTGTGTTGCTTTAATTTAATTTTTCCACATTAATTTTTATTCCCATTGATTGATTTCTTGTGGGAAATCATATATTTTCCCTAACATCTACATCATAGAATCCCCAAAAACCTGGAAAAACAAAAATAAAAAATCAACTACCATAACAGGTTTTAAAGGTGTCAAATTGGGTTTTGAATTTGAGCCCATATTATTTGAATTAGATTAGAATTCGTAATATTATGGCCTGTTGATATAATTCCCTTTTACTGATAAAACGCATTTTTATTGTGATCCAAATCTTCCATTATTCTAGTTTTTATATTTTTCTAACCTTGTGATTTTGGTGGTGATGATTTGTGTGGTAGGTTTGATGGTGGTTTTGGGTTTAGTGTTGGTGGCGGAGAAAGGGGAGTGGGAGGTCGGTGGTCATGGTTGGTGTAGAAAGGAAAGGGAGGCAGAGCAGAGAGGCGTTGAGCGGAGGAGGAGGATCACATGAGGGAAGGTGCAGGTAGGTGGCTGAAAATGTTAGGTTTTATTTCAATTTTTTGGATTTAATTTTTTAAAAATTGAATTTTTTAATTTTTCATGTTTTTTATTTTTAATGAATATTTTTTAAATTTTAAATAATTTTTTATTTTTTTAGATATACCATATTTACATGCATTTAAAAAATAAAATATTTTAAAAAATTAATAAATACACAAGAATACGAAAATGTATTAAATTTTTATATTTTTTATATTTAGTAAATTTTTAAAAGATTTTTTACAAATATTATACTTTTTAAGTGTATTATATGGGGATTTTTTTTTTAAGGTCCCTGATATTAAGATTTTATAATATAAAGGACACCAAATATTTTCATAATGTCTAAGGTCCCTCAATTTGACCCAGAAAAATTTCATCCAGAGAATTTCCAAAGAAATTCCCCTCCAGAGAAATTCTCATCCAGAGAAAATTCATCCAGAGAAATTCTGAACTTCCCAAAGAAATTCTCTGGGTTCAACCCAGAGAAAATTCAAATTTCTCTTTCTTCATTTTGACCAATTTTCTCTGAGTTCAAATTCAAATTCAAATTTTTTTGGGTTCATTTATAAACCAGAGAAAATTCAAATTTCTCTGGATTCATTTTAACCAATTTTCTCTGGATCACAATATTATTTTGTGAAATCATTTTGACCAATTTTCTCTGGATTCAAATTCAAATTCAAATTCAAATTTCTTTGTGTTCAAATTCAAATTCAAATATTGTGGATCTATTTCATTATCAAAAATAGGAGAGGGACCTTAGACCAATTTCTCTGGGTTCAAATTCAAATTCTTCCTCCAGAGAAATCATTTGATAGCCTTCATCATCATCATCATCGTCATCATCTTCTTTCTACATCAAATAAGTAGCTGTAGTAGCACCATGAAAGCCATATAAACAAGAGCACTTTGATAGCATCAACACAAATACACAACATGACAAATGATTAATTGGAGGTAGCACGAGGCAATAACAAAGCTTCTAGAGAAATTTGAACAACCAAAGAAATTTGAACAACTGGAGAAATTTAAACAAACCAAAGACCTACCAGAGAAATTTGAAAAAACTCCCAAAATTGTAATCGTCACAGAAAATTCAGTTTTAGTAGACCCAATGGTATAAGCACAGTCATTGGCTCCAATTTCGCCAACCCAGAAGAGAGCATCATTGATTGTTGCATTGCATTGGGTGGTTGTGGTAGTTGTTATGGGGCCTCCTCCTCCTCTACACCCCTGAGACTCCAAGAAGTTGTTGAACCAAGTGAGCTGGGTTTGAAGGGACTGAGGAGTGATGTTGAGTGTGAGGTTGTTCTTCACAAAGAAACTGTGTATTATTGCAGTAGAACCAGCAATAGCAAAGTTGACACCCATTGATGATGGCTTTTGGTTGCTATTAATAAGATGGAGGTAAGGAGGCAAGTATGGGAGGGACAAAGATTGTGCTACGAAGTCGATGACGAGGCGACCATCGGAGTAGTGGTTGGTGGAGTGGTGGAAGTATGTGCGGCCGTAAGGGAGGTTCAATACATAGCCGAAGCCACTTGGGCCGCTGGTGGAGCCTGTGTTGCCCGTGTCGGTATACGAGTCTCCGAACACGTACATCTTCTTCAAGGGGCCTGCATGTGGTTGTGGTTGTGGTTGAAAGGTAGCACCAGAAGAGAGGAGGAGAGACAAAGAGTCAAATTTCTCTGATATATGTTTAGGGATCTTAGACATCAAAAAATAATTTTGTAGATATCTTCCATTACTAAAAATGGGAGAGGGACCTTAGACTAATTTTTCCTATTTATATTAGGTGTATTTAAAAATTAAGAAAATTACTTAAAATATTAAAAAAAATCAACAAAAACAAAAAATATATATATACATAAAAACAAAAAAATATAATTTTTTAAAAAAAGAATCCTGAAAAGTAAAACCAAACAACAACATTGGATGAATAGAGTAATGTTAGGGATCCTAAATAATCTACCAAATGTTTTACCAAACCTCTCTCATTGGTAATGGTATACAAAAATCTATATGTGTAGGTCCTACACCCATGTGAAAAGTTTAATAATTTATTTAATAAATTATTTATAATCCTTAACATTACACCAAGTTAAACCCAATTTAATATTCTTTATTGCATTTATTTCTCTATTTCTCTTCTATAATGAGAGTTGGACTGTTTGTTGGACTTGATAACTCAAATATTATTTTTTTTTCTTTTTCTTTTGATAAAAAAAAAGATATTTTAAAATATCATCACTGCATCTGGGACGGCCAATTTCCCTCTTTGTGGCGTTTTGAACATTTTAGTCCCACTTTAGAGTGTGTTTTTAACTTTATTCCCATTATAGGGTAAAACGGTTTTGCTAATGCTGTTTTCTAGAAAACGGCTTTTCAAAAACCGTATTTTGCGATTAAAATAATAATAAATTTTGGACCCAGAAAACGGCTTTACAAAAGTCGGTTTTGATTAATTTTCAATTAATTCTGAATTAATTAAAAACGGTTTTGGTAAAATCGTTTTTACATTAATTTTTTTTTTAAATTTATATTTCCAACATAAATATTTTTTGACCAAAAATATTTTTAATAAAAAACGGTTTTAGAAAAGCCGTTTTTTGACAAAAATTTTTTTAATTAAAAACGGTTTTACAAAAGTCGTTTTTTGACCAAAAATATTTTTAATAAAAAACGGTTTTAGAAAAGTTAGGGCATTATAAACAAAACAGCTCCCCTTCTCCCTTTGAACTTACGAAAGCCGAATTTGATATCCAACCCATCTTCTCCTCCCTCACTCAGCCGAACTCCGAAGAGAAGACCGACAATGAAGAGGAAGCAACGAACAACGGCCAACAACGCAGGAACACCTTCATCAAACACCCACATTCAGGTTTGTATCGCATAAATGAGGGTTTTCATTTCAAATTTGGGATTTTTAATTTCGAAATTAGGGATTCAGATTTCGGATTTGAAATTTCGAAATGAGGGTTGTAAACTTTTCATTCAACAACGCAGGAATTTTTTGTATAAATCCTGCTTTGGTTGCAAACCCCTTTCTCTCGTCAGTTCCCTTAAAAACCCTAGCCCAACAAAACATGCTATGAATGGCATCTTTTGATGTAAATAAATTGGAACCTGTGCAAGTACTTTTGAAAGGAGATAAGGCTTGAAAATGTATTTTTATTTATTTTTTATTTTTAAATAAATAAAATTTATACTAGGTTTTAGCTTGTCTTGTGTTTGCAACATTGTGGCATTGTTGCTATATTCTGATCTTGTGGTAGATAGTTAAATGGGGCATGTATAGCAACTCAGGAAGTAGAAAGTTACACCAGTAAAGAAAACAAATTAAACAGATTCATTCATTTTAGACAACGAAATAATCTCTGGAGAAGAAACTGTGTTGGTACAAGAATTAACCTCTCTCTCTCTCTCTCTCTCTATCTAGAAAAAAAAAAAAAAAAAACACAGAGATGGAGGAGTTTTTGTATACTGATATCGAATATTTATGTGCAAAACTCAGGTATTAAGAAAAGCAGCTCAAACTCAAAAGAAGGTCATTGCTTTTTTTAATTTTTTTTCCTTCAATTTTTATTTCTTCAAATTATATGATTACATGCTCTTAAAACCCAAGTATATGTATGTATGTATGTTTGTGCTTTTATATATTTCTTTTAGTCAATTTAACTGCTTCTTGCCATCAATTTATAGAATTATGCAGGAAATTATGCTTTAATTTCTTCGTATTCACTTTCTTCCAAACTAGTAATCTTCACCTGGCCAATTTTTTCCTTTTTTTCAATACACTCTTAGCCAGAAGATGTAGTGGAATTTTGAAATATTGAAATCTTGAGACATAATCTTGTGTTTGGAAATGTATTGGGAATATAGGGCAAAATTTTAGAACAAAAGTAGGAATAGCAATGAAGTGGCCTTGGCTCATTATTAGGATCCTTGGGATATCTCCAATGGAGATGCTGAGCACACTACACACAGATTTATACAAGTATACACACCACACGTTTGGCCATAAGCTAATACACCTAAAAAATCAAAATTTTAATTATATTCTCTTTAATTAATACACACAGATCCTTGGGGCATCTCCAGGATGGTATAGAGTTTGAGTTGGAAGTAGAGAGAGTTTGAATTGAAAATAGCAAGTTCACAAGAAGTAAAGTTCGAATTGGAAGTACGGAGAGTTTACCATTGCTTTGTTAGTTTGACCAAATGATGCCTTTGGCCTTCAAATCTTCAATTAATAGTCTACATATATATACAAATATCAACAATCCAATGGTGTGGAAACTATCTAATTCTTCCATTATAAGCAAATGATTGTATATATATGTATTTTTTAGATCATATTCGTCGGTCATTACGGCCGGCTACCAATCAAAAAATATATATATTTTTGTAAGCAGGTTGAGGAAAGATTAAAAACAAAGGACAACAATGAGCTGCTTGGAGTTTTTGGTGATTGAACATCACATTGTTGTCCTCGAACCCCCTACGGCCATTGATGGACACTTGGACTTCATAATTTTATGAGACTTTACCTCTTGAATGATCAACATGGAATTAATATGCCAAATGACCGAGGAATGGAGGGGCATATTTTAGAAGATTTAATTTTAATTTCTACATTTGGATTTTAAATTTGTCAATAGAAATGGCAAGAAAAAAAAGAAAAAACAAGATAAAAAAAGTTCATAATTCTAAAAGTTTGGGAATAACAAATGCCTTCAAATAATAATATAATAGGTTTGAGAAAACTTCCCAACAAACTTAACATATTTTTCCTTGTATTTTAATTACATTTTTTTTAGTACATAAAAAGAAAATTATAAATATGTGCAGGAAAGATCCTCTAAACAAATATAAAAAGAAAAAGCCCACATCTAATAAGGGAATCAAACCTTTTTTGAAGGAAAATCCTATAATTCAGAGCCTCTAGATATAGAAGTCTGGCCCATTTGGACCAAGCCCTACAATAAGCCCATAAGTTTCTTGTATGAGCCCACAGCCTAGCCTAACCCATTACATCGTATGCAATAACAACAGATCTAAATCGAGTTATTCAAGCCTAGATATATGGAAAATGCTACCATATGCACCTGCCACAAAATGTGTAATCCTATTACAAATTGACGTAACAAAAAATGTCACAACAAAACCATAAACTTTTACATCATGCATAACCTAACTACAAATTGGCATAATAAAAAATATCGTAACCAAGCCAAAAACTTTTACGTCATTAACCACAAAATTTTGGTTTTCTCAATTTTTTGCTCGATTTTTTTATTACAGTGACAACTCATCTCTTATTGATATATGTGGGATTCTCAATTCAGAAAGTCACATGGCAACAGTGAATTCACTGATTTACCTTACAGTGAGCATGCCCTTACTTTGTCGGTATATGTAGATGGATTGTCAAGTCACGTGACTTGGTACACAGTATTTGCTTTACTCTGTTTTTTCATTCTAGTGACAACTCATACCTTGTTCGTATATGTGGAATTGTCATGCAGAGGCATCTTTCTAAAGCCGTTCGTAACCAACTATATAAACGACTAAAGGTGAAGACATAACCTTACAACTCATTTCGCCCTACGAAACTATCATTCATTTGTTTTAAAAAATTAGCATGGCTACATGGTTCATGGGAGGGAGTCGGAATCGCAGAGGTGGTAGGAACTTGCAAAGTGGTGACAGTTCACGACGAGGAGGGGGAAGGGGAAGTGACGATGCTGAAGATGAAACCGAGGAGGGGGAAGGGGAAGTGGCGATGCTGAAAATGAAACACCATTTGCTTCGTTAGATACCTCTTGTGCTTATCATGATAGGTTTGGGAAGCGACATTTTGTCATGCCCAAGTACTATCGAGATCCATGTGGTTTGGTGGAGGAACTATCAGATAATCAAACAGGATATGGTTTAGCAAACGCTAGACTTCTAAAGTGGCCCGCACTATTTATAGAGCGAGTCCAAATGGAAAGATTATGTCGGGAAAATCGATTGAAGGTGCCAAAAGCACGGTCTGTTGAGATCCAAAAGGAAGATCCTGATAATGTTGATCGACTATGTGAAAGACTACAACGTGAGATTTCTCAAATGAACCGTAGGTTAGCCCGCGATATGCAGCTATACATAGTTAAGAAGGATGCCCAGAAGAACAAAACAGAACCAAATGATGCGGCTATCAAGGGTCATGGAGGATCCTCAGCTTGTCTCTGATGCTGAGCTTTCGGATTGTTCAGACTCTGAGCCACTTACCGATTTAAGCGCGAATTAGGTGTTAATGTCTACATTTCGGCAATATTAGGTCATGCATTAATATGTAATGTCTGTGTTAGAGTAAGTGTTTCCGTAATGAGTTGGTCAGATTGTCTGGCTAATATTTGTCTGTCTAACTGTTATGTTTATCTATGTATTGTGTGTTCAGTTCATGGTGTCCACAATGTATTGTTGTTCGAGACTTATGTTTGTACTACTTATGTATTTTTGTGGGAGACTTATGTGTTTTTTCCTCAAGGTTTTATGAATTACATTATCAGCTTCTAACCCAAAACAAAGACAACAGAAAAAAAAAAATATTATTTACATGAAAACGACTTTAGTAAAGCCAAAACAAAATTACTGAATAACACATTCTAACCCAAAACAAAGACAAGAGAAAAAAATAAAAAATAAAAAACTTTACATGAAAATGGCTTTAGTAAAATGAAAAGAAATTTATGAATTATATTATCACCTTCTAACTCAAAATAAAGACAAAAGAAAAAATATATATATTTAAATGAAAACGGCTTTATTAAAGCCCAAACAAATTACTGAATAACACATTCTAACCCAAAACAAAGACAAAAGAAAAAATATATATATTTAAATGAAAACGGCTTTATTAAAGCCCAAACAAATTACTGAATAACACATTCTAACCCAAAACAAAGACAAAAGAAAAAATATATATATTTAAATGAAAACGGCTTTATTAAAGCCCAAACAAATTACTGAATAACACATTCTAACCCAAAACAAAGACAAAAGAAAAAATATATATATTTAAATGAAAACGGCTTTATTAAAGCCCAAACAAATTACTGAATAACACATTCTAACCCAAAACAAAGACAAAAGAAAAAATATATATATTTAAATGAAAACGGCTTTATTAAAGCCCAAACAAATTACTGAATAACACATTCTAACCCAAAACAAAGACAAAAGAAAAAATATATATATTTAAATGAAAACGGCTTTATTAAAGCCCAAACAAATTACTGAATAACACATTCTAACCCAAAACAAAGACAAAAGAAAAAATATATATATTTAAATGAAAACGGCTTTATTAAAGCCCAAACAAATTACTGAATAACACATTCTAACCCAAAACAAAGACAAAAGAAAAAATATATATATTTAAATGAAAACGGCTTTATTAAAGCCCAAACAAATTACTGAATAACACATTCTAACCCAAAACAAAGACAAAAGAAAAAATATATATATTTAAATGAAAACGGCTTTATTAAAGCCCAAACAAATTACTGAATAACACATTCTAACCCAAAACAAAGACAAAAGAAAAAATATATATATTTAAATGAAAACGGCTTTATTAAAGCCCAAACAAATTACTGAATAACACATTCTAACCCAAAACAAAGACAAAAGAAAAAATATATATATTTAAATGAAAACGGCTTTATTAAAGCCCAAACAAATTACTGAATAACACATTCTAACCCAAAACAAAGACAAAAGAAAAAATATATATATTTAAATGAAAACGGCTTTATTAAAGCCCAAACAAATTACTGAATAACACATTCTAACCCAAAACAAAGACAAAAGAAAAAATATATATATTTAAATGAAAACGGCTTTAGTAAAACGAAAAGAAATTTCTGAATTACATTATAACCTTCTAATCCAAAACAAAGA